TTAAGTTCTTTAATAGGAAACTCCCCATATTAGGTACCTTAACTAGTGAACGTAGCCGATACCTTACCTAATCAGATTTATCGATTAATGATAACTTTCTGTGCCGCAATGTATCTCTCTTAAATGTCACACTACACTGTCATTGATTCACTTTCACAAGCGATGAAGTAGAATTAAACAGTCGACGTGCATAAAAAAGGAAGAAAGCTAAACGCGAACAAAAATGCCATCATGGCTTTTAGCCGACAGAACCTTCTTACACTAGGCCCCTAAACCGAGTTTAAGTACAAAATGGTAGCTATAGATTAATAAAATATTTTGTTAGTTTCATCTAAAATACTGTGTGCCTGTATAATAACTATTGACCCCTTGTCTTTCGGTCCTTCAGTTTTTTCTAATCACCATGCCAGGCGGGGTTTTTAACCCTTGCCTTAATTACTTATTCAGCTGATTGCAATATATTTCAACTTCCTAATCTAATTTCAATTTTAGCAAAGTTTAAATCCCCAAAGATAACTTTTAACAATTTTCATCATTTACAAAGGAGAAAATTGATAAGAAAAAAAATGTGCTGGTGGGGCGGTACGGCAATACGGCACCTGTCCCTGTCCGTCTCTTCTCTGGGCGTGGTGGCTTCATCACGGTTGACATTCCCGCGCTCTGTCCCAGCAAGACTCATCACCGACCCTCTACGGGACGTGGTCTCAGAGTGTGCTGCCGACCGCTGTCTGTGATGCGGCACCTCGACCACACCAGGTGGGAACTCGGGCCTCGTGATCGTTACATGCTGTTCCTCGGGTTCCAACGGGTGCGATGGATATATTCTAACAGTCCTGTAGAATATATCCCCTTCTTTTATCTCGCCTGGTGCCGCCTTGCTGTCCTTGCCTCCGCGCTTCTTGCTAACGGATAGAGACATTGGCTGGGTTGAGCCTCGACGCATTATGAAATGCGTGGAGATGAAAGCCAGCAACGACTTTTTCAACTGTGTTTTTGTATCCGGCTTAGTCTATCCAAGCGATGTGATTGTCAGAGGTTTCCTCACATTACAATAGTTTCCTGGGACCGAGAACAAAGTAGAAATTGTTCAACACGTATTGTAGTATAACAGCACAGATCAATTAAACAATCAAGGGTATTCTAGCCTCTAGGTAATAATCGACAGTGTGCCTAACTTGCTTCGTCGTCGATAACTCGGGTTTCAGTTTCATCGTATGTTCGGACACGCAGAAAATATGCAGCCAGTTTTATGTTCGTGGCGAAATAAATTTGCCGCTTCATGTGCACGCAAATCAACTCCTCGTTACCTGAGTCTCTGGAGAATTGCTCGAAAATTAAAACTGGTCTGTGACTCTTAGCGTTTTATCAATCATTTGGTATAGGTTCGGGCCGATTGCAGAGTTAATCTTGTCCAACACTTGTCCTAAAATCCTCCAGTAGTTTTGCTTCTTATCTAATATCCAGCGTTTTAATCAAATTTAAACTAAGGTTCCACAGCAAAACAAAATAATAAAATCAGTAAAAATTTCTGGTCAAATTGAAATAATCTTCATCTAAAGAAAGCTTCAAAATCCTCCTATTTCCTCGTCACCGTTCCATAGTTTCTAAACCGTTGTCAACGCCAGGGTCTACTCGTTAAAAGTGTACATATTTCTCCCGACGTGTAAGTCAACATATTTGTAGCGAGTAAACAGTGAAATGTAAATTATTTTATTGTTCGTATTGTTCAAGGTGTATCTCATGGCTTACGGGGACAAAAGGGGATTGGGTATGGATTTAGGAATAACTCTCCATGTCACTCTTCTACCTGAGCCATGAAATCAGAACCTGTTGTAAACGGGCCGTCCTGGTTCTGGAGCAGGTTCCCCTTAATTGAGTGAATTCATTATCTTGAACATGCATATTTGTCTAACACAACCAAAGTAAAAAAGCAGGAAGATCCATTCACAGTTGCCTTTAAATGACCCAAATAGCAGTTTCTTTACATTCGATGTTTGCCATGCTTTTATGCATTGTGTTTTATTTGCATTATATTGCACTTGACTACGTAGCCGAAGATCATACACGCACTCAATCGCTGCAGTAACATGCCTATGTCTCAACAAGCACAATAATAAATCCTGTTCAATAAAAGAGAAGAATCAGAATGCCTGAAATGCGTCCTCATGGTGTTGGTTACGATTTGTAGCGCATTCACTTGCATTTTTATAAATCCCTCGGTAAAGATAGATAGCTGTTTGATCCAAAGAAAAAAACTTGCAAATGTTTTTCTAAATTATAATAAAGTCCAATAAATCCGCTGATACCCCAAAGTCCCGGTCTTAAGTTATAACATATAAAGAAATAATAATTTCATTGGTAATTTTGTCCGACTATGACAAAGTTGTCAACAAGTAATCAAAAATCGCAAAAGCTCGACACGCATGAGACAAATTATTGACAATAAAATAATGCTAACGAGCAAAGAAACCAACTAGGCCGCTGCTATTAAATCTAAACTTAAACACCGAGAAACAGCAGAATGATGGAAAACCAAACATAGATCAAACGGGAAAACAAAAGTAAATATATAACCACCTGTGTAACGAGACAATCGTAACATTTGATCTCCTCCGGCTCCCAAATGCAGACGATCGCCTGTCACTTGGACGGTGATTTGGCGTTTCCTCCGGCGTCATGGGTAAGGAGGGAAGGAACAAATCGCGCCTGATGCCCTGTCGGGATTGCCGTTTTCGGGCGGGGCTGTCAGCCTCCGAGCTCGCCATTTTACTCAGTTATTTCTCCTAAGTTAATAAGCACAGCAACCCATCAACTGCAACTGCACTAGTACCGAAGTGAAAGCTTTGAAATCCTCCTGAATGAAAACTCAGTCAAATTTCATTTAGCAAATGTCCATCTTCTATGTTAATTTTTATGGACCACCTTCTTGTGCTTATAACGTACAGCATTGTCACAGTTTTGAAATCGTAAATCCACGTGCACCACTGCTCATACAGTCATACTCTGTATACTGTAATCCATGGAAATTCTCGTACCCTGACCAGAAATCACTGTTGCTTATTCTGTCCACGCAGGCTAATGTCTCACACATCGTAAACACCTATTTGTATGACATCCATGACTTCTATCGTTTCCGAATACAACATAATAACAATCAACCGGATAGCACTAATAAATGTTTCATCAAATATCCCATTTCTGAGTTAGGATTTATTATGTAAACTGCATAAAATTCTTTGTCAACTCTAGCGTGATCCCTAGCGACTTGTGTTATGACAATACTATTGTTTGATATTTCTCACATCATTCATTGAAGTCATCGCAATAAATCCCCTGGACGTGAGAGTATTGCCGAAAGTATGAAGCGCTTAGTTTTATCTGTAGCAATAAAGTGGAATTATCAGGGTCGATGGCGCTGAATTCATTCAGGCGGTTAACGTACAATGAAACTATTCAAAATGCTTCACAGCTTCAGTCTGTCCAGATAAAAAAACACTTCTTGTCGTTCACTTCTGTCACACTCGCTTGCCCACACAAGTTGTATGCTTGTTTTCAAGAACCGTCAACTGGCTTTTAGCTACAAGATTTTCTGCAGAAAATCTGCTAATCCTCTACAAGTTTCTATTGTCACGAACGTCGAAGAAAATCTACAGAGAAAACCGTCCATTAAAAAAACACAGCCTCAGAACAATGTGATCTCCTTGTTGTCAGTAACTATACATGACGACCTATATCTCTAGGTTCAATATAGCTGTAGGATAATAATAATCCCGCCACGCTCTAATCCCACCTCATGTTAATCAAAAGTCTTATCTCCACAAGACTGATACGCAGCGACTTTCGAACTGATTGTTCATTGGTCTTTTCCTTAATTTGGATGTTGTTCCAATGATTTACTGCAATCGTCTTTTCAATGATTCGGTTCCGAAGTAATGGCTTATAATGTGTTTTAAGTGTGTTTTACTCATTCCCTAATGTGGCGTGTGCCGCTTGGTATACATAAACTCATGTAGTAGTTCATCTGGTGCAACTGCGAGCGTTAGATATAAAAACAAACTCAAGCCCTGACCTTCGAAACATTTGTCATTTTTTGACAAAGAAAAGATTAAAACGCGTGTTTGAGTCCGTTTTTCGTGATGACATGAAGCTGTTTTTCTCAGTCTTTTTCAACATATGGACTACGACACAAAAGCTCGACATTCGTCTTTCAGCACGTTTCTTTTCATAAATACAACTGAATAACTAGCCAAGCATTCTGTTCGTTATTGCTTTCAAACAGCGCTAACAAAGTACAAAAATCAACCAAACCTTTTCTTTCTCTATACGAACATCTGGCATACAGTTTTTTTGTATTTTCGGAATTTGAAATAGAAACATTTAATCAGAACGCTTGGGTCATCGGACACCTTAAAAGAAAGCATGTGGAGTAACGCTGACCTTAGATAGCCAAACTGCAGATCTAAATCTTTTTTCTCTTTTTGTGACATATNTTTTTTTTTTTTTTTTTTTTTTTGTATTTTCGGAATTTGAAATAGAAACATTTAATAAGAACGCTTGGGTCATCAGACACCTTAAAAGAAAGCATGTGGAGTAACGCTGACCTTAGATAGCCAAACTGCAGATCTAAATCTTTTTTCTCTTTTTGTGACATATCCACTTAGAAATAGAATTATCTAATCTTGTCACCCTTTTTCACCTTTTTGATTGCACTGTTTTCATCTATTATCCAAATATATTATATTGCATCACAAAATACAGAAGAACGTCCTTAAACATATCAAGGTATCGGTTAATTTCCTTACCCCCTCTTCCGCCTCCCCTGTGAAGTGTATCCAGTAATGGGTGTGGCGGACAATCGACCAAGTTCATTTTTGAAGCTGACGCTGTACCTTCCACTACGTGAACTATTGCGAGAGAAAGAACGGCTCGTGTTCCCCGACGACATTTTAAAAACAAAAAAGCTACCGCGTCTCTTCCGCGAGGAACACTCCAGTCTAGCGTTGTCACGGGTATCAAGCGGATTGAAAGTTTGGCCGTTCTTTGTTATCTTGCATATGCATCAGTCATCCGAGTAATCCATACTGTATTGAACATTTTCTCCATTAAAAAAAATCTAACGCGATTACCGAGATAAGACGTGCATCAGATTTCACTAGTCCTTGCTGTTCTTATTAAAATTTTGGCTCAGAGACTTAAGGCGATTTGCAATCCCAATTTTGCAACTTTGCGACTAAATCATGACAATCTCTGAACGACGAACCATGTCACTGATATTGAATGTCCACAAGAGGGTAATTAATGACAACCAACAGGTAATGACCCCAACTCGGCCGCCGTCCAGACGACACGGACCGAAGATAAAACGACAATATTGCTCATCTTTCCCAACAACATAGTTATCTAGCAAACCGACATAGCATCTGCGCCAAAAGCATCCTTATTAACTTGACTGATATGAAACCACGCCTTCTTAGGCTGTATTCCCAGAGCTTTTAGATCGATCTATCCCCGCGGGGAGTCTCACTAGATTACTGTCAGATAATGCGGCTTAAATGTCCGTCCCGCCTACTACAAGCAGTAAGGGGGTAATTAACTTTCGTGTCCGCTCGGCTGACAGCTATTTAGCGTGAACCCCCAGGGAGTTAGGTCGATCTAAAGTAGATCGATCTAATCTCTGGAAATGGGGTCTTAAATCTGCTTCCACAACCCCTGCTTGCAACGTTCACAACTTTGGCAGCTCAGCTAAGGTACTTCCGGAAAGCGCTCAAAACACACAATCGGCCCTTATTCAAAGAGACTGCTATGGTAAACGACTTCATTTGTATTGTCTTGAGAGTTTACACGCACACACGGTAAGGATGCTTTGAAATAATTTCCCCAAGGTAATCACACCGTAATCTATACTGTACATAGTAAGATGAAGCAAATATATCGGGGAAAAAG